TGTCCCTGGGTTAATCCCCAGTGTCCACCCCCACAAAATAAAAGAATCCCTCCTCCAAAGATGGGCAACTGAGGGTTAGAACTTTACCATGTGAATTTGTCTTTTGACACAGTTCAGTCCGTAACAAAGCCCTGAAACTGAGCTGATCCTCCAGAAGCAGCAACATTTCCTAGAAGTACCAGCGCTCCCAGCCCACCACCGTCCCTCCAGATCTTGGTGTCACCTCTTATGGGCAAAGTCAGAGCCTCTGTCCTGTTCCTGACCCTGTGTGAGTGGGCACATCAGCTGGGCTGTGAGCTCCAGAAGCAGGGACCGGGGCTCCCAAGTACTTCATGCCCCAGCGGGGACTTGGCAAATATTTAAGTGACTGTCTGGAGGTCATGGAGACTGCCCTTGGGTCCAGTTGGGAGATGTGCTGGGGCCTGGGCTGGAGATATTGGGAAGTGCACCGTCCTCCCTGTGAGGCAGCGAGAGCAGAGTCATCCTTCACTGCTGGCTGCTCTGTGGGCTCAGCTCTGGGACAGATCACTGGCAGGTTTAGAGGCCTCGTTCCCTCACTATGCCACCACTGCTCCACCCAGCAAGCGATATGGCCAGGTGCCAGCTGCTGAGGACCTGTTTCTCCTGCGGACCCAGTGTGAGCGAACGCTCGGGGCCCAGTGCACTCTGCAGTCTCCCTCCACCCCCATCCTCCCTGTTGACAGTGACCTTCTTCACTTGGTGCTGGGGCAAGGCCACATTCAGATGTCTGCAGCTCCCAGACCCACTGCCCTACTCCCGAGTCACATGGAGCAGGGAGGGTTCCTGTGAGCCCATCAGCTGAGCCTGCAAACCAGTTACTCCTGCACCACCAACCCCTGAATCACTGTCAGAGCTCCCGAGTCCTGGCTGCTAGGCTCATGAGGTGGTCTATCTCTTAGGGGGGCCCGGATTCCCTCAGCCCCACTAGCGTCTTGTTGCCTCCTCTTTCCCCAGAACCTCAAAGTCCACATTGTCAATGATCCCTGTGCACCAGGCCTGTTCACGTGCAGCTTTTCCTGTGCCTGTTCCTGGGGAGGGATTGGGCTGTACCCCACCTCTAAAGCCTAGCTGCTGTGAGCCATTGAGTGAATGGAGAAGTCTGCAGCGCCACTGGGCACTGGGCGGAGCTGGTGGGGCCCTGCTGGGCCTCTCTGCCAGTTGCAGCGTCCCAAACTCCAGTCATTTATTCCTATCTTGGTGCTTTCTATCAGCTGCTGCTTTCATTTTTATTTTTTTAATTCTGCTGGTGCTGGGCATGAAATCTGTGGCCTTGCGCAGGGAGGCAAGCACTCTACCTCCTCCTGTTTTTCTTTTTTCTTTATTTTCTGTGCCAGGGTCTTGCTGCATTGCCAGGCCGACTTGGGATTTGTGATCCTCCTGCCTCGACTTTCCAAACAGCTGGGGCTCCTGGTGTGCACCACAGGCCTGGCGTCTCTACAGTGTTCTCTTAACATTTACAAATATTTGTTGAGCATCTAGCTCTGTTTTAATCTTGAACAGAACCAGCCAGGACACCTGCCCTTAGGAAGCTGACGTTCTCCTTTAAGCAATAACTGTTCAGTTGGCCCTCCTGTATCTGCGGTTTCTGCATACTCAGATGCACCGAACCTCAAAAAATACTGAATCAGATATGCGCCACCAAGCTGGACATGGTGGTACACACCTGTAATCCCAGTGGCTCAGGAGGCCGAAGCAGGAGGATCGCAAGTTCAAAGCCAGCCTCAGCAAAAGCGAGGCGCTAAGCAACTCAGTGAGACCCTGTCTCTAAATAAGATACAAAATAGGGCTGGGGATGTGGCTCAATGGTCAAGTACCCCTGAGTTCCATCCCCAGTACTTCCCCCCACAAAAAATACTGGAGAGGGGCTGGGGATGTGGCTCAAGCGGTGGCGCGCTCACCTGGCATACGTGCGGCCCGGGTTTGATCCTCAGCACCACATACACACAAAGATGTTGTGTCTGCCGAAAACTGAAAAATAAATATACTGGAGAGGGCTAGAAATGTAGTTTAGTGGTAGAGTACTTTTTAAAAATTAGGGAAAACATTTTTGTCTCTGATGAATACATACAGCTGTTTTTTTTTTTCTTGTCCTTATTTGTAGCAACTATATATACAGTGTTTACAACAATGTATAAGTCATGCAGGCCAGGGAGGGGCAGGGCCTGGGTCTCCCTCCTACTCTACCAGAGCAACTAGCACCTAATAGCATCTCAGTTCAGGTTGAGTTTGCAGAACTGAGCTGGCTTTACGGACCTCAGTTTTCAGACAGAAGGCAGAGATTTGGAGACCCTGGTCCCAGGAGCAAATTCGTTCTGGTGCACCTGGCTACAGCATGCACCTCTGAGCCTTGGCCACAAGCTGCTTCTGTTCCTCATAGCAGCCCTTTCAGAATCAACCAGATGTAATATGAAAGCTAACTCAGAGTGAGGAAAGAACAACTGGGATTCCATTCCTGCCTCAGGGACTTTGCACATACCCTCTCTGCCTTTCTCCTCTTTTTCCCAGAGTCAGCTCAGGCTTCTCTCACCAGCAGAAGCCTTCTTACCTGCATCCTGTCCATTTGGGACCACCTCCCTCTACAGACTACAGAATTGCAAATGACTCCCTTCTGCTAGTGGGGTCACTTTATCAACCCACACTTCTCTTCCTTCAAAGAAGATCATCCCCAAGTAAGGGACTTGGCCTTTCTACCTTTTCACTTATTTTCCCTGAAAGAGGTAGTACAGGATCTTATATAGAAGTTCACATATTGAGAGATGCCCAGAATAGGGGAGTGAGTTCCCTGAGCAGCATCAATTCCCATTTCTTTTTAAAAACATAGTACTTATCTTTTTTTTTTTTGCAAATAAGCAGGTTCAAAATGCAAAATCCAAAAAGTCTACTTTGCAGATCTCATTCCTTAGTTTTGCCCAGAGGATACCAGCTGCAGTTTCTTTTTTCCTTTGCAGTGTTGGGGATGGAACCCAGGGCTACATACATGCTAGGAAGTTCTCTACTACTGAGCTACATGGCTGCCTTTTTTTTTTTTAATAGCTTTATTGAGATATGCCATATAGTACATCCATTTAAAGTGTACAGAGTCTTGTTTTATTTTGGTTTTGGTTTTGGTACTGATGCACCCAGGGGTGCTTTATCACTGAGCTACATCCCCAGCCCTTTTTACTTTTTTTGTTTTGTTGTTGTTTTGAAGCAGGGTCTTCCTAATTGCTGAGGGTCTCACTAAGTCAGTAGTTTTTAGTATATTCAGCTTTGCAACTATCGCCATAGTTAACTTAGACTCCCCCACCCCCACCCCCCAGTACTGGGGATTGAATTCAGGATACTGCTCCACTGAGCTATGTCCTTGGCTGTTTTTATTTTGAGACACAGTCTCACTAAGTAGCTTAGGGCCTTGCTAAGATGCTGAGGCTGGCCTCAAACTCGTGATTTCCCTGTCTCGTCCTGGGAGTTCAGGCGGGCACCACTGGGCCCATCTGACGACTTTCAGTATATAAAGAATAAACCCTATGTCCCTTTGCTCTCAGCAAGGCCCCATTTCATTTTCCCCTGCCTAAAAACAGAAACCACTAATCTGCTTTCTGTCTAAATGGATTTGCCTATTCTGGATGTTTTATGTAAGTGGAATCATACGATATGTAGTCCTTTGGCTTCTTCACAATGTTTTCCGGGGTTTTCCATGTTGTGGCATGTGTCAAAATTTTTTCCCTTTTATGGCTAAATCATATTCGTTGTGGGTATATACTGGTTTGTTTTACGTGCTGGGGGTGCACGCCTGGGTCCTGTGCATGCTGGGTGAGCGTGTAGCCTAGGCTACCGCCCAGCCCTGTGCCACATTTAAAATTTTTTTAATCCATTCATTAGTTAATAGACGTTTCTGTTTCCACCTTTTGGCTGTTGGGTGTGTTGTTTTGTTCTGTTTTGAACAGGGGATTGAACCCAGAAGGACTTTAACACCAAGGAATGACTTTCCCCCTTTCATCTTCCCACCTGCTGTGTCTGGGGATTCTGATTTCTCGTCCTTACAGCACTTGCTGTCCATCCTTGTGCTGCTGGAGGGGAGTTCGGGCTTATGTGTAATCTCTTGGCAGAGCTGACACTTGTGACTTTGGCTCCTGGTATTTACCTGTCAGTGTCCAGAGATGTCATACATGGTGCACTTCTGCATCTCAGCTGTCTCCCTTCCAGGCACTTAGGTAGACCTGTTGAATGTTCAAGTACATGTGGATAAGTGTGCCAGGGATCTTCTATCTGCAGGGGACAGAATATAGCCATCCTGGTCACAGCATGGCTTTGCCGATTTGACAGTACAGTTGACTGGCTCTCAGTATTTGTGAGCTTGGCATCATGGATTCAATCAACAATAGATTGAAAAGATTTTTTAAAAAGTATTTTAAGGATCAAAAATATTCAGAAGGGGCGGCTGGGGATATAGCTTAGTTGGTAGAGTGCTTGCCTCATGTGCACAAGGCCCTGGGTTCAATCCTCAGCAAGACGTAAAATAAAACTATTGTGTCTAACTACAGCTAAATAAATGTGTGTGTGTGTGTGTGTGTGTGTGTGTGTTGCATCTCATTAAACGTGCGACTTTTCCTTGTCATTATTACCTAATTAATATATTTATATACATTGTATCAGGTATTGTAAGCCATCTAGAGATTATTTAAAGTATGTGAGTGGCCAGGGTATAGATAAGTGGTAGAATGTCCACTTTGCCTGCCTGAGATCCTGGGTTCAATCACCTATGCCACAAAAATGTTAAAGTAAGCCAGTTGCAGTAGCACCTGCTTCTAATCCCAGCTACTCTGGACACTGAGGCAGAAAGATGGCAAGTTTGACATTAGCCTGGATAAAATTTAGCAAGACCCAGCCTTAAAATAAAAGGTAGAGTACCTGCCCAGCACATGCAAACCCTGGGTTAAACCCATAAGGCCCCTGGCAAGTAAGTAAGTAAAGTCCACAGGACGATTGTAAAGGTTCTGTACAAATACTGTGCCATTTGAAGGACTTGGGAATTAGATTTTTGATATCTACTGGGGTTCCTGGAACTAGTCCCCCACCAAAGGACAGCTGAGTTTCATAAAGGCAAGTCTGCTGGTGTAGAAGGAATCTGCTTGATTCTGCCGCGTGGGTGTCTGGGCTTTTGCGTGGCTTCCTGCAGCAGTCGGGGTCCATGAAGCAGGGTTCAGCCAGCACTGGATTTTGCTGCTCAACTTGCTCCCGTGTCTCCCTGTCTGCAGCTGCCGCCATGGCCCAGACCCTGCAGATGGAGATCCCAAACTTTGGCAACAGTATCCTCGAGTGCCTCAACGAACAGCGGCTGCAAGGCCTGTACTGTGACGTGTCTGTGGTGGTCAAGGGCCACGCCTTCAAGGCCCACCGGGCTGTGTTGGCTGCCAGCAGCTCCTACTTCCGGGACCTGTTCAACAGCAGCCGGAGCGCCGTGGTGGAGCTGCCGGCAGCCGTGCAGCCCCAGTCCTTCCAGCAGATCCTCACGTTCTGCTACACGGGTCGGCTGAGCATGAACATGGGTGACCAGTTCCTGCTCATATACACAGCTGGCTTCCTGCAGATCCAGGAAATCATGGAGAAGGGCACCGAGTTCTTCCTCAAGGTGAGCTCCCCGAGCTGCGACTCCCAGGGCCTGCACGCCGAAGAGGCCCCATCATCTGAGCCCCAGAGCCCTGTGGCACAAACATCAGGCTGGCCAGCCTGCAGCACACCACTGCCCCTCGTGTCTCGGGTCAAAACAGAGCAGCAAGAGTCGGACTCTGTGCAGTGCACACCTGTGGCAAAGAGGCTGTGGGACAGCAGCCAGAAGGAGGCTGGGGGCAGCAGCAGTGGCAACGGCAGTCGCAAGATGGCCAAGTTCTCCACGCCGGACCTGGCCACAAACCGGACGCCCCAGCCGGCCCCGGTGGTGGCAGCAGCAGTGGCAGCGGGGGGTGTGATGAGCGGGCCCAGTACATCAGAGCGGACAAGCCCCGGCACCTCCAGCGCCTACACCAGTGACAGCCCTGGCTCCTACCACAACGAGGAGGACGAGGAGGAGGACGCGGGCGAGGAGGGCGCCGACGAGCAGTACCGGCAGATCTGCAACATGTACACCATGTACAGCATGATGAACGTCGGCCAGACGGGTGAGGCCCTGCTCCCTGCCTGGGACGCCTGCCCTACGCCCTCAGGTGCACACATTCACATGTATACTCTGCTTTCTCCCCACAGCCGAGAAGGTGGAGGCCCTCCCGGAACAGGTGGCCCCAGAGTCCCGAAGTCGTATTCGGGTACGGCAAGACCTGGCATCTCTCCCAGCTGAGCTCATCAACCAGATAGGCAACCGTTGCCACCCCAAGCTCTACGATGAGGGTGACCCCTCAGAGAAGCTGGAGCTGGTAACAGGTGTGCTGGCCCCACTGTCTCCCTAGATCCCCCCGCTCTGTGTCCTCAGGCCTCGTGTCCTGTGTTGGTTAGAAGCTACTATCCTGGGGCAGCTGAAGCCCTCGGCCCTTCAGTTTCCCCATCTGGACTTTGATGTTGGTAGCTGCCCATCCTGGCAAGACCAGGGGTGCAATTAGATGAGCTGAGAGCTGAGCTGTGGTTCATTGGCGTGCTCTTCTGGCACGTGCAAGGCCTTGTGTTCGATCCCCAGTATGGAAAAAAGGAAAAAAAAAGATCAGGTGAGTTAGCTAGGCTGATGGTGGCCCAGCCTGTAATATCAAGTACTCAGAAGGCTGAGGCAGGAGGATCCCAAGTTCAAGGCGCCTAGGCAATTTAGCAAAACCCTGTCTCCAGTTGTAAAAAGCTAGAGTGGGCAGTGGGTCTGGATGTAGCTCGGTGATAAAGCACCCTGGTTCATTGTCTAGTACCACTCATAGAAAATGGAGGTGACATGAACTGAGGCACCTCTCAGGTGGATTCCGAGGTTTCTGGCTCTGGGAGCTGGTGCACACATGGGGTAGGTTAGCTGCCTTCGGGGCTAACTGCCACAGTGACCTGGGGCCTCTCTCTGCTCCCAGCTGACCTTGCTGAGTCTTGGCCTCCTTGGCTGGGGATGGTCAGAACCCCTGCCACAAACGTGTCAAGCCAGACTTGCTGCAGGGCCTGGCAGGTGGCAGGTCCCCATGGGTGTGCCTGTACTCTTTCTGTCCTTTCCTGAGCACTGACATGGCAGAAGAGGTCTGAGGAACCCTACCTGACTGCTCTGGGGCCAGTGGGTGGGACCCAAAGCCCAACACAGAAGGGCCTGGTAAGGAGCGGTGCTTGAGAAGGGCTCCGGCTCAGGCCATATGGGGGTTGGCAGTTTGGAGCACCCTCGGTCAACCTCTGCTTCCCTTACCAGGTACCAATGTGTACATCACAAGGGCACAGCTCATGAACTGCCACGTCAGCGCAGGCACTCGGCACAAGGTCCTGCTACGACGGCTCCTGGCCTCCTTCTTTGACCGGTGAGACCCTTGCCAGAGCCCTAGGATGGAGGTGGGTGTCCTCTACCCCATCACCACCAGGAGCCCTGACTCCTTTCACCCTATCCCCTCTATTCCCCAGGAACACTCTGGCCAACAGCTGTGGTACCGGCATCCGTTCCTCCACCAATGATCCCAGACGCAAACCACTGGACAGTCGTGTTCTCCACGCCGTCAAGTGTGAGTATCCAGCCTTCTGGAGTGCAGGTTGGGGTCTGAGGCAGACTTGAGGCAGCTGTGTTTTTATCCAGTGCGGGCGCTGATGGATGGGTGCAGTTTTGTGTTAAGAAGGATGCTGAGCTGGGTGTGGTGGCACATGTTTATAATCCCAGCAAAACAAAAAAAAATTAGAATTTTGAGGCTCAATCTCCTCTGCTTGTTGGGAAGAGGGCTGTAACTACAGCGGTTTCTCCACAGTTGGGTAGTGCTAAAGGGAGGCCAGGGGGTCTGTGGCAGGAGGGTCTCAAACCCTGGGCAGGCACAGAAAGGTTTAAACAGCCAGGCAAATCCCCCAAAGAGGTGGCCACCAGACAGTGCTGCCAGTTGTTAGGAGCTCAGTCAGCCACCACTGGGAGCGGTCAGTGGTCTCCCTGTGGGGATTTGGGAAAGCCGTGCAGTGGGAGGGCAGGCCTCATGGGCCTGAGCCACCTGCTCTGCCTGCACAGACTACTGCCAGAACTTTGCCCCCAACTTCAAGGAGAGTGAGATGAACGCCATTGCCGCTGACATGTGCACCAACGCCCGCCGCGTGGTGCGCAAGAGCTGGATGCCCAAGGCCAAGCCAATGCTGGCAGAGGGTGACGCCTACACCACCTTCATCAGTGACACAGGCAAGATGGAGCCGGACATGATGAGCATGGAACACGGCTTTGAGACAGCCAGCCACGACGGCGAGGCCGGCCCCTCTGCTGAGGTCCTCCAGTAACCCCACAGGACCCTCCCCAAGGGGCTGTCACACTCCCCCTTCCCGTCACACACCCGCCCACCATCTTGGTCACGAGCTACTGTCTGTCCCTCCCCAGGACCCTTTGGGGGTGCTGCATGCTCCCAGCCCCTCTGCCTCCCTGTCCCATCCCCTTCCCCCAATGCGAGCCAGGCTGGGGAGGATGGGGCAGGTGGTGCCAGGGCCTGTTGCCTTCTTTAACACACTCATGCAGTGGGGAGCACCTTGCTCCCCCTTCCTAACCCTTAGTAGTCATTCCCTGCTCACCAGGCCTGGCACAGGGAAGGGGCCAGCCTGGGAGACCTGTGAAAGGTCCCTTTCCCAGGCTCTGGGCCACCTTGTCCCCTCACTGCAGCCCCTTGGGACTCAAGGGGGCCCTGGGGGCTCTCAGGACCCCTCCTACCACCTCCCAGTGCTTCCAAGTCTCCAAAAGCGCCTTCCTGTCTCCCTCGTCTGTCCCTGTACCTGGGGGCTAGGATAGGCGAGGCTTAGAGGGACTGTCCACTTTACAGCTGAGGAAATGGGGCCCAGAGAAGGCTCAGAAATCCCAAGACTGAACTAAGGGCAGGGGCCAGTGGTGGCCCAGTGCCCCTCCCTCCCACCACCCTGCGCTCAGTCTCTGTTGCCCCTGCCAGTCCCCTGGGCCTGAGAGAGGCTGGTCCTAAGTGAGGGAGTTCTTGGGGGCAGAGGGAGGGTCTCAGAGGACAGGATAGCTCTCCGGGGCTCGCAGAGCGTGTGGGTGTGCATGTGTGTGTGTGTGTAGGTTTGCTTTCAAAAACTAGTGAAAACATGAGAGGCGGTAAGACCAGGGTTTGAACCCAGGGGAGCAGGCTGGGGGGGCTACTGCCCACTCCCCCACCCCCCCACCCCGCCCCACAGCAGGGCTCCCAGCCCCACCTCCTGTACATACTTTTTAAAACATTTTTTTAGCGAATGAAATATTGAAGTATAAGATTTCCTTTTATTTTTCAAACCAACGGGACTGTGTCTGAGGTCCCCCTCATTCCCCGGGGGGCTGTGGAAGGCAGGTTGGGGGTGCTGGGTCAGGCTGAATGTGTGGGTGCATGGAGTGTGGGTGTGGTTCCACTGTGGGTTCCTAGTCTCAGCCATCACCTGGGCTCCTGTGGTCCAACCAGCTTCCCCCCTCACTCCCCACCCAGGCGACAGCTAAAGGATGTCCCGGGCCTTGGCTGGGTGGCCAGGCAGGGCAGGGCCCACATTCATTGTTAGCAATCATTTGTGAAATTCTCTCACCATTCCTCTTTTTACTTCGCCTAGAGGTAGTGTTTGGTTTTTTTGAGTTTTACATGTGAACCCGGGGTCCCCAACACAGACACATCATCATTTCGCCATCTCGGCTTGCTTTCTTTGCCCTGTCCTCCTCTCCTCCTCCTCCCAAACTTCTGCCTGCCCCTAGCTCCCAGCCACCTCTCTCCCAAGGCAGGGGATGGCAGGAGGTCGGGTGGGGGCCAGCCAGGGTTGGACCCTTGGAATCTGATTTGGAGACCTTTACCCCCAACCCAGCAGCACCCCCTCCTAGACTGTAGGGGGTCCCTCCAGATATCTGCTTGTTGCAGGGATGGGGGTTGTCAGATGTGTCAGGTCTGGCTGGGGTCCCGACACTCTGCTTTCCTGACCTGTCCCCAGCACCTTAGCCTCTGGTGGCCCAAGTGTGTGGGGGGAGTCGACACCCCCAGCTAAAGCACAAGCACCTTAGTCGCACCCCCACTCCCCCCACCCTCCCCTGGCCTGACGCCCCACCCCAGCGTTGATCCCAAAGCACAATATCCTGGTCACTTGGCAAGTAGCTGGGCCCAGCCAAGGTGAGGGGCAGGTGGGGACTCCAGTCAGCTCCCCTCCTTCCAGGCCTTAGTGAGGGGGCAGCTCTCTGGGACTAGGGTCTTCTCCCAACCCGCTCCTTCTCTGAGCCCCGCAGCACTGGGTTGGGTGGCAGGGCCCACTTGTTTCAGGGACCCCAGGAGGTGCTCCTGGCTCCCGGGACTGTGAGGGTGTCTAGGGGTTAGGGGTGGGAAGAGGGGTCTGGGCAGGGGGTGCAGGGGAGGAAACTCCTCACTAGGAGAGCCAAAGACAGGGTTGTGCCTTACCCCAGGAGCCACCCCTGCATCTCCCTGCCCTGGCGGCCAGCTGCTTTCCCCTCCCCTCCTCTCTCCTCTCCTCCCCTGCCCTGCGCTGCATGGTCCCCCAACCCTGGGCAGCCAGGAAGAAATACAAGTGGAGAATCATCCACCTACCAGATTTAAAAAAAAAAAAAAAAGTAGGGCCCTCCCCCAACTCCACTGGCCGTCTACCCACCCACGCCTCTTTCACAGGGGACAGACCACTGGTCTGCCCACCCTGTCCTGCGTGAAGTGCCAACGCCCTCCCTGCCCTGGGCCTAGCCCCCACCCCTCCCCGGCCCTAAGTGAGATTGCACATTAACTACTGTAAGGAGAGGAGCGGCGTTGGGAAATGTGAACCATGAAAATATCAGTGATGCTGATGAGAAGAATAAACTGAACGCCTTTGTAACAGTCCTGCAGCATGCTGCTCACTCCAGGGGGTGCGCCTGGGCTAGCCCTGTGGGCACGAGACACCACTCTTCCTCCTCTGATCTGCACCTGTGGGTTCCTAGACAGCCCCTCAGAAGCTAGAGGGGCAGCCAGGCGCTGTGGCACATACCTGTAATCTCTGGTTTGGGAGGCTGAGGCAGGAGGATCATGAGTTCAAAGTCAGCCTCAGCAACTTGGTGAGGCCTTATCTCTAGATAAAAAATACATCAAGGGCTGGGGATGTGGCTCAGTGGTTTAGCAGCCCTGGTTCAGTTCCTGATTTTTTTTTAAAAAAAAAGCTGCAACTATCTAGAATTTACTGTGATGCTGGCTTACTGCCCCCACAGTTCAGTCCTCTAGAACCCAGGAAGTCCTGTACACACTTGCCCCTTCACCCCGTTTACAGCCAGCACTCCCATGATTTGAAGAAAAGAGAAAATGTTTGTGGAGGCACACTAATGCAACCCCAGCAATTTGGGTGGATAAGCCAGGAAGGTGAGTTCAAGGCCAGCCTGGATCACTTAGCAAGACTCTCAAATTCATAAACAAAAGGGAGGTTTGCTAGGGATGCAGCTCAGTGGTAAAAGCACCCCTGAGTTCAGTTCTCAGTGCCCAAAAAGGAAAAATAGTGGAAACCACACTGGGGTGTAACTGGTAGAGTGCACATTTTGTACGCAAAAGCTCCTGTGTTTGATTTGCAGCACCAGAGAAGACATTTTCCATGGGAGAGGCTCAGCAACTGAGATCTTGTAAGATGATAGAGAAGGGACTTCCATCTCAGTCCCCCTTTTCTTTAACCTTTATTTTATTTTTTAGTTTTAGGTGGACAGGATACCTTTATTTTTATGTGATGCTGAGGACCGAACCCAGTGCTTCACACATGCTAGGCAAGCGCTCTACCACTCAACCACAACCTCAGACCATCTCAGTCCCTTTTTGAGACAGTCTCAATAAAAAGTACCCAGCCTGGACTTGAACTTGTGATCCTTCTGCCTCAGCCTTTCAAATAGCTGGGACTACAGGCATGCACCACCACATCTGGAACCAAAAAATGTTTTCTCTTGTGTGGTCTTCCAGGTGTGTGCCACCATGCTGGGCAGAAATTTTCAAATTTTCCATTATTAACCCATTTTGTCCCATCATCCTCTATATAGGACACCTATAAGATATTGAGCCAGGCATGGTGGCCCACACCTATAATCCCAGCAGCTCCGGAGGCTGACACAGGATGGCAAGTTCAAAGGCAGCCTCAGCAAAAGCGAGGCCCTAAGCAACTCCATGACTCTCCTTGTCTCCTTGTGTCTAAAAAGGACTTGGTTGTGGCTCAGTGGTTAAGTGCCCCTGGGCCAAATCCCCAGTCCAAAAAGAAAAAAGGTTCAAATCATCTTGTTCACTTTAAGAACACATGTGAAATCATCCAGGCCACAGAGGATATGCATATCTGAAAAGTCACCAAGTGCCTGCTTTACATCTTTTTATAGAAACAATGTGTGCCATTCTGGTAGAATTGGGAAGTGAGCCCAGGCCAAACCATGGGGCTAGACACAGGGTTGGCAACCCAAAGAATACTGATATTTGGTGCACATGCTTTGAAATGTAAAATAATGCTGAACTGAAGGGTTCAGAGGTAGATTCTCTGATCATTGAACACACAGGTGAACGGGGCACCCAAAATGGGCTGCTGCACTTACAGAGCTCTTGGTAGATTAACCCCTGTGACCTCCCCTGCCACATGGCAGTGAGCATCACTGAAAAGGAACAGATAGTTCCTAAACCAGAAGAGGAGGTTTCACAGAAGAAAAAGATCCCAGAAGAAACAAAAACTTATTGCACAGGAATCGATTCAGCATAAAATACGTGCAAATAAAATGGGAAAAAAAAAAAAGAACAAGAGTCCCATCAGGGGTCAGTCTCAATTATAGTCAACACGCTGAATGATCCAAACTTATGAAAAGCTAGGGTTTTATTTCCAAGTTGGCACATGTAGAAGGCACAGGGCAAATGGCTTTGGGCACTAGAAGTGGGGTGGAGTGTGTCAGGGATCCCTGCCTCCACTACTCCCTGAGCGCACTCGAGACAGGACCAGTGACAAGGTGCCTGCCTGTGGCCCTGACAGTCCCACTGGCTTTAGATGAGAGCTCCCCGGGCTCCACACCCTCCTCCCAGGGGGCAGGGTCAGCTCAAAAGGGCTGGGTGGTTCTGAGGGCACCAGGGGCCAGTGCCCCAGGAAAAGCCCAGGTCAGAGAGAGAAGAGCAGAATAAGAACCAGGAGTACCACTCCCAGCAACACCACAATGGCACACCACTGTCTGCGGTCTGGGGACAGAAGGGTCAGAGGTCACAGGTTAAGGTAAGTGGAACCACCCATCACCTTCCCCAGTCCAAGATCTACCCCCTTCGAAGGGCACTTACCACTGGTCATGTGGGACACTTTGGCCATCTTCCTGAGAACCCTGTCCATCTGGGACTGGGTGAGGTCCATCTCATGAGCAAAGGCATCCAGCATGCTGCCAAGACCAAGATGGCATCAGACTCAAAAGGGCCCATGCACATTAGGGCACCGAGCCCACCCCCTGGGTCCTGGCCTTACACGCCCTGTTCATCCAGCTCCTCCCCAACACGGCCTGACATGTGTTTCAGAACCCGGATGCTCCCAGACACCATTTCCAGCTGTTGGTCCTGTTGCTCCATGATCAACTGCAGGGTGGAGGGGTAGCTGTGGTGAGCAGGGACCCCTGAGTGGTCCAGAGGATCCCAGGGCCTTCTGCCACCCACAACCAACCTGCTGGGTGGCTTGCTGCTCCTCAATGTAGCGTGAGGTGGCTGAGACCACACTGGCATCCAGCAGGTCACTGTGTGACTTCTGAGCATCTGGCTTGGCCATCAGCACCTCCTGGAATACAGGGAGGGACACCCATGCAGAGTGGGCCAGGTGCATGTTTGTGGGACATCCATAGTTAATCAGGAAGCAGTCTCAGGTGGGACTGCTTCCTAGACCTGCCACTTCCTAGCAAAATAGCCCCAAGGCCATGACATTGATCTCCCTGTGCCTGTTTTCTCCTGATAAAATGAGATCTGTAATTCTTGTTTTCTGGGGTTGGAATGAGAATCTCATTAATTAGTAACACCTAGAACAGTGCCCTATACACTGTTAATAAATCTGCCTTTTATATTTTTTAATTATTTCACAATGCTGGGAAGAGACAGTCAACAGTCAAGTGGCTCTTCCTCCCTGTTCCTCAGTCCCTGCTTCCCAGTTTCGCAGGATTGGGTGCAGACAAATACAATCAATGCACTTATTTTATTTTGTTGCTTTTTAATTTTTTTTTTTTTCTGTGCCTGGAATTGAACCCAGGGCCTCACACATGCTAAGTATAAGTTCTAACCCTTAGCTACACGCTCAGCCCCTCTTTTTTCCCTTTTTTAATTGCAATGCATTTAGCACAACATACAGCCTGGCCTGTGTTTATTTTATTTATTTGAGGTCTTGGGGATTGAACCCAGGGACTTGTGCATGCTAGGCAAGCACACTACCATTGAGCTACATCCCCTGGCCACTGAGTGTTTACTCGACAGAACACTTGTTATTATTTTATCAATAGCTGTATTTCAGAGTTTGGATTTAATCTCCAAGGCGGCACATCTGGAAGGGCATGTGGGCACTGCTTCAGGATGGCAAACTGACATGGGCCTCAGACCCGCACACTCCCTGATCGTGTGGATCTGTGAGGGGATGGAGAAGGACTGGTGTGTTCCAATACAGAGAATGGACAGGTAACACACAGGGAAAAGGTAGACAGGAGGATTGAAAGCTCAAAGCCAGCTTCAGCAACTTGCTGAGGCCCTAGGCGACTCAGTGAGACTCTCTCTAAATAAAATATGAAAAAGGGCTGGAGATATGGCTCAGTGGTTAAGCGGCCCTGGGTTCAATCCCTGGTGTGGAAAAAAAAAAAAAAAAAAAGGTAGACAAGTGGCAGTGAGAATGAGAACACGGACACAGAGGGCAGTAGTGTACGCATGGAGGTGAGATGGAGATGTACTCAGAGGTCAAGTGCACACACCCCAGTGGGCAGGTGCATGCAAAGAGAAAAACATAGGCATATATCCTGGAAACAGCCGCACACTGAGCAAATGGGTCAGCACAAAGGACAAGTGTATACAGGCCCTCTCCTGCAAAAAAAAAAAGCCAGTATACTTAGAGAACTACACACTGAAATTATGATTGTTCCTTGATATTTTCACGATTTGGGTTCCAGGACCTCCACAGATACAAAAATCTGAGGATGTTTAAGCCCATTATGTAAAATGTCATAACATTCATATAGAATCACTACATATCTTCGCATAGACATCAGATCATTCCTAGCTTAGACCTAATACAACGTAAATAATATGTATTTGTTTTACTGTATTGTTTAGGAAATGCAAGAAAAAAGCAGGCACATATTCAGTATAGACACTTTTTTTTTCTTCCAAATGTTTTTGATTGCTTGAGTCTGAGGATGTGGAACCTGCAGATAAGGAGTGCTTAGGTGTACACACCCAGAAAGAGCATGCAGGTAGGCGGCTGGAGAACAGCACAGAGGATGGATATTAATGCAGAAGAGACTGGTGTAGAAACACAGAGAAGGCAGGCAAACACACAGATCGGGCTGGCACTCAAAGCAACGGGTCCCCGAGACAGACTTAGAGGTGTGTGCTGGGTCTGGATGCATTACCTCTCTGTTATTCCTCTCCATGAAGGCTATGGCTGCTGGGCTGACCATGTGGTCCTTCATTTCCTGGGAGTGAGGGCAGCATTAGCTAGTACAGACATTCCTAACCTCCCCAAACTCACCCCATCAGGACCTCTCCTCACCTGAACAGCTTCCCTCAGGCGCTCCACGAACAACTTTCTCTCCTGCAAGTCCCCTGCTGGGAGCTTGAACTTGCCTGGATTGGCTTCCACTATGCGTGGGCTGAGTCAAGGGTCAAGGCCAGAGCTAGATACACCCCTGGGCCTTCACTTTTCAGCCTTCAATACTTTCCCGGTGTCCAGTCTCCCAGAAGGTGGGCTCCCTGAGCACATGCTACAGCAATGGACTCTCCCATGCCACCCCTCCAAAACCCCAGGATATCTATGGTCTCTTCCAGGTCCTCGAGGTCCCACTCAATGCTGCGCAGGCCATTCCGCAGTTCATTGGTGGTCCAGTCCAACTCCTCGCGTCCCACCGCCGCGCCATCCTGCAGGAGCTCACACCAGCGCTGGTGCAGCCCGCGGACGGTGTTCACCGCCTTCTGCACCTCGCTGCGGGCAGGGGCACAGTGGGAGCGGCTGTGGGCAGACGGCCCTCTCGCTCGCCCCCAAACGAAATGGGGGGTTCAAGAGACCTCCATATCTCATTGCGAATCCTCCCACTCGGCCACGGGGCGACCCGTGCACCCCGATGGTGCAGCCGTGCCCAGAACGTCTGGCCATGCACTGGCTGGCAAGGGACTGATGACCTTCCGCCCTCCCCCAGCACTATCACTCACCCTCGGACTACAAAAAAAGGGTCTTCGAGAGACATGTCAGTCCCCCTCCCTCCCAGTCGAACCCCCTCCTTGTGACTGATAGCTGGTTCCCTCCTAGCCAGGAGAATCCGCCGCCAACCCGGCCCTCGACGCGCTACCATAGAGAGCGGGCCCTCCAGAAGAGAAAGAGAGTCCTTGGAATCCCGAAGTACGGCAACTTCCGTCCTCCTCGCAGTCATCTTGGTTGTGGGCAAAGACGGCTTCCTGTTCGCAGGCTCCGCCCCATCATCATCATATTCTCCCGGGTGGGGGGTGGTGTCCTAGTTGTGTCGGGAGGGGTTTGGGTCCGAGATCCCAGCCTCGGTTCGAGACCCAACTCCTCGGGCCGTTACTCCATAACCTCAGTGTCCCTTCTGGGCAATGAAAAATAATATTAGCTTCCGTTTAGTCAGACAAGGTTAGGTCTTGAACCCCCCCTTTTTTGGTAGGTGGACAGCGTGTCTTTGTTTATTTTTATGTGGTGCTGAGGATCGAACCCTGTGCCTCACACGTGCTGAGCAAGCGCTGTCACTGAGCCCAGCCCCAGCCTCGCATTGAACCTTTTAACAGACTCCAGTGTCGGCACCCGGTGGCCGTCCCAGGAGATCGTCCCAGCCCCGGGTCCCGGTGGCTGGTTATGGAACGGTGCGGGGAGAGCCGGTGCCCTTCCTCCCCGCGGGGGCGAAGTGAGGAGTGGGAATTCTGCGGGGACTTCCGCTGGACTCTCCACTCTTCTTCCCTACAAAAGGCCTGTGGGAGGGAGGAGAGAGCAGGGGTCGCCTTGAGATCGCCTGGGGGCGGGGTGGTAGTGAGCGGGGACCCCGGAGATGTCCGGGAGGGTCACCTTCCAGAGCGTGTGTGCAGGTGGGTTCCCAGGCCCGTCTCTGCGTGAGTGCGAGGTCTGTGAGCCGGGGAGCGGGGTGCTGCGCAGGCACTGGACTCCAGGGGACCTCTGTGCGCGTGGCGTCTCCGTCTAGAGAGGGACTTACTGGGTCACCTCCTGTGCGACAGAGCCGCCTCGGTGGGGCTCCCGGGAAAGCACTTTTTTGGGGAGAATGGAAGGAAGCCATCGCCTGAACGGAGGGCTCTCCCCCCCGAGGATCGGGGCGGGGTGTCCGAGGGGAAGGCTCGCCCCCACGTGGGGTCCCACGGATGGCGCCTGGGCTGGGGGTGTCAGTATGGAATCTGCGTGGTGGCTAGCGGGACGGGGAGGGAGGCGTCCCCAGCAGGTCACCGCCGAGAGTGGCAGGATGGCAGAATGGGGAGGGGCCTTTTGAGGGGGAGTAATTGGATTCCCACGTGAGACGAGAGGCGGGACGTCGTGAGGGTGCCTAAAGGCCGGGGGAGACCGCGGGGGGGAGGACGGAATAACCGGGTGACCTTGTGGGGGACAACTGGGGCCTCCCCGGAGGGAAGGGTGATCAGCCGGCCGCCCCTCGTGCTGTCGGGGTCGCCGGGAGACGCGGCGGTAACCCTGAGGTCGCCGCCTGCAGCGGGCGAACCGCCTCCGCGGGCCCGAGGGAAGGAGGCGAGACCTCCCCCTCAGCGCTCCCCACGGCCGAGGCCCCGCCCCCGCCGCCCGGAAGCCTGCGGCCGCCAGCGGCTCCGGCGATCCCGGCCCCTGCCCTTATATGGGCAGCCGGAAGCAGCTCTGGCGCCCGCTCGACGTCACTCCTTCCAAATTTAGCTGTGGAAGTCAGCGGGCTCCAGTGGCGGGAAGCCTCTGCTCGCCAGTTGTGCGTCTGGGGGCACTCCTTAAAGGGCCCACACCATGAATCAATGGAACCATCGGAACAGTGTGTCTCTTCCCCTCTCAACTGGAATTAAATTTTCTTGGAGCAATAGCGCGTGGCGGAGGGAGGGCCCGATGGTGATTTTTCTGCTTTTTGAGTTTTCAGCTCCCACCCCTATCCCGCCTCCCCGAGAGGAAAGGCGGAGCACGGCTCAATTGTCGGTGGTGGTGGTTGGGGGGGGGTCAGCAGCCACGTGTTCACTGGGACAGTCCTGCCACTGGGTCCACTGGCTCGCGAGGGCCAAGCCTATCTGTGGAGGTCGTGCCTCAGGAAATGGGAATGCTTGGTACTGGGTGGGGGACGGCAATCTGGGCTGTGCTCTGGGGTCCGCGGATATCCGCTGCCCGCCGGGTGACTCCCTCTGGAACCAGCCAACGCCATCCGCCTCTTTACCACCTAAATACCAGGAAAATGAGGAGGGCTGGTATTCGCTAGATAATTTAGAGCTGGAGGCCCCAGTGGCCCCCTTTCATCGCAGCAGCCCGTTCATTCGTTTAGCAAATACTTGGGCGAGTGACTACCTCGTTTTTCCTAAGTAAAGAAAGCACACATCTTGTATGTTCTGTGGAGTGAAGATGAGGGATCAGATGTTAATGAAAGGAAAATCCTTAGCAGAGCCGGGCATGTAGTAGGCGCTTAGTAAGTGGCAGCATTGTTACTGATTCAGAAAACATTAATTAGACGGCTCGTTGAAGCCAGGAGCGGTGCCCACGGGGGATGTACGGGTTCCAACGCGGGTTTTCCCCAGTGAAAAGGGAAACTTGCCGCCTACGACCCGCTGGCGTCGCCGGATGCGAGCACATAGGTGGGCTTTTGAGCCACACCCGCGATTCCTCTCCCCGGGTCCTGCGCACGGGATTCTACGAAAGGAGACCACCCAAGAGCTCAGTGTGCTGGAGGAGATCGTCCCTCTCGCCGGGATTTCCGTCCCTCTTCCCGGCTGGTTAAATTTCACCCTGTCGCTTTAAGGAGTGGCCACCTTGTGGTGGAAAGCCCGGATGCGGCCCTCTGATTGGGCGGGGCGTCTTCATGACGTCACTCTAAGTATAAAAGGGCCCAGGTGGCCGGAGCCCGGGCAGAGCGTTCTAGCAGTGTCACTGCGTGGGTTGGCGTGTTGTTCATAGTACACCTGCTGCCAGTCCTGTCCGTCCCAGGAGTACCTGCTGCCCTCACCGTCGAGCTGCCATGGAGGTGCAGAAGGAGGCTCAACGCATCATGACCCTGTCGGTGTGGAAGATGTACCATTCACGCATGCAGCGTGGTGGCCTGCGCCTTCATCGGAGTCTGCAGCTGTCGCTGGTCATGCGCAGCGCCCGGGAGCTCTACCTCTCGGCCAAGGTGGAAGCCCAGGAGCCCGAGGTGTCCTCGCCTCCTGCCAAGTCCCCGGACCCCCGCCTGCACCCGCCGCGGGAGGTGGAAACCCCTGCCGAAGTAGCGCCCCCCGACGGAGAGCAGCCTTCCCCGGAGCCCATGGACACGCAGGAGGAGGCATCGGGAGCCCAGGAGACCTCTGCCCGCGGTGCCCGGCCTCTCGCCAAAGTAAGCCGCAAGCGGCGGAGCAGCAGCCTAAGCGACGGCGGAGACTCCGGTTTGGTCCCGAGTAAGAAAGCCCGTCTGGAAGAAGAGGAGGAAGAGGGCGCGTCGTCGGAGGTTCCTGCCCGCCTCCTACCCGCTCCCGCACAAGCCGAGGGCGCCTTCCCCAACCTGGCCCGCGTGCTACAGAGGCGCTTCTCCGGCCTGCTGAACTGCAGCCCCGCCGCGCCCCCGACGGCGCCCCCAGCGTGCGAGGCCCCGCCGGCCTGCCGCCCCGCGGACAGCATGCTGAACGTGCTCGTGCGGGCCGTGGTGGCCTTTTGAGGACCCCAGCGGCGCTACCGGAGCCCAGAGCGCGCGCCGAACCGTCGGCTCGAGTGCGCAGACCCTTGGCGACGTCCCCCTGGGGATCGCCGGCGGGAACCGTGGAGAAGAGCCGCCGCCCGGGCTGCTGAGAGGCTCGGAAGGGACTCTGCCCCGGGGGAGCCGTCGCCCTCGTGAGCTGCGGCGGCTCCAAGGAGCCGGCGGCGCGGGCGCCTTCTGCCGCGACCTGCGGCGCCCACAGGTGCTTTCTCTCTGGACAGAGACGCGGACCTGCCCCTCCGGCTGGAGCAGGGAGTCTCCTCAGGTCGGACTTCACTTTTCACGGGGCCGCGCTGCCCTCCGGGGTTTCCAGCAGCCGGTGTGCGCGCCGCCAAGCGCAGAGGACCCCGGCACTCCCTGACCCCCTCCACGACATACTTGTGCAAGCGGTCATCGTTGCGTCACGGGGCAGGCGTGGGGAGCTTCCTGCTGCTGCGTGGGCTGTGGGTCCGCCTTGGGGCGCGGGAGGAGCGCGGCCTGAGTCACTCGCCCCCGCGTGCTGCTGCTGCGGAGCGCCTCGCAGCCGAACTCTTTGGATTGAAAATTTTTCTCTTCTGGTGCGTTAGGAGGTGGCGAGTGTGGTCCCAGTCCCAAACGTGACCCACGGACACCATCCCCCCAGAGCGAATGCCGGGTCTGAACCTCGGAAGCGGAGTGGGGGAGGCGGCGTCCAAAGTGCGCTCCTGCTGAGCCGGGAGCCGCCGCTGGCCGGACTGGGCCCGCCGGGGGAGGGCGGGAACTCTCCAGGGCTTTTGTAGGGTGTTTACCTTTCCTGTGACGAATTCTGAATTCCCCATCCACCTGGCGTTTTGATAGAAATGTCAGGGAATAAAGACAATTTGAGTAAAGGCGCTGCCTGTCGGCTGTTCTTCCCGGGCGGGGTCAAAGGGTCAGGAGCCGGCCTCTGGGAACCCGTCCGACCAGTTACCACGTGGGCTGGACGAGGATGGGCCCCTTCTCTCCGCAGAACCTCGGTGCCGTGGGTGCTCCACTGCGACTCCCCAGTACCCTCCCCCAGGTTTGGGGTTTACTTCGAAATTCGGGGGCGGGGAAAGTTTTACCGAGTTCAGACATGGGGGGGGTGTGACTTCCAGGTCCCGCGCCCCAAACCCGGAATTGGGAGAACCAATAGCTCCTGTTTGAGCCTTGAAAGACGAAGGTCTTCTCTGGACTTGAATTAAAGAAGCCAGCTCCGGTGGGGTCCCCACCGAGGGGGGTGGAGTTGCGCAGGAGCTTTGGAGGGTCCCCTTCCAAAGGGGAGGACTGGGCCCAGAGGCACATTACCACCGAGCGCCACCCTAGCCCTTTCTAAGGTTGCAGCTGCACAGACCCCTTTATTCATTCATCTTTATGGGTGCTGAGGACTGAACCCAGGGCCTCTGTAGACATTTTGAGGTCTCCCTAAGTTGCTGAGGCTGGCCTGGAACTCCTCCTGCCTCGGCCTCCCGAATGGCTGGGATGGCAGGCCTGCGCCTCTGCGTGGGGATCCCGATCTTTCCGGAGACGCGGCGCATTGCTGGGATCAGGAGGTGAGTTCCCAGGCTCACTTTCCTCATCTGTGAAACGGGCCCCCGACGGCTGCCTCTCCACGTCTTAAGATTTAGAAAGGTCCCTGCAAACCCTACCCATCTGCCTTTGTCCTGCCTCAGCTCCGGGTCAGCCACGCTGGGTGGAGACAGCCTCTCACCCACGTTGGTCAGCTCTGAGGCTGTAGGCCCTGCTCCGCCAGGGGCAAGGGGCGGGGCGGGGGATGCTGTTCAGAGGACAAAAGAATCGCAGGTGCGGGGAGCGGGTGGCAGGCGCCGCCACAGCGCCTGCCCCGCCTCCGGATGGCTGGCTCTGCCGGCGGGTCTCCCGTGATCCCAAGGGACTTGACCCGAGGCCGGAGGGTAGAAGGAGGGTGCGGTGGAGGGTGGGCCGGCTCCGGAACCTGGCCGCGGTCCTCCAGGCCCGCGCTTCCCTCCGGCCCCCCTCCCCTCCCCCTCCCCCTGGGAGGCGAGTGCACCCAGGGCCACCGAGCCAGCTCGCCCCCTCCGGGGCCTCCTGATTTCTTCCGGGAAAACGTGGGGGGACTCAACACCACCAACTCCGAGGACCAACCCACAACTCCCCAAGGGTGGGGGGACCCAAGCCCCACATTCCCGAGAGCCTGGCCGGCCCGGGAAGTCCCTGGCGGCCGGGGAAGGGACCTGGCCTCGCATCCTGTCGCAGGAACCGCCGGGCCCTTCCTTCCGCGGGAAGCTGCTCGGCCGACCCCGGCCCCCCGCGGGGCCCGCTGGGGGTTTCCGGTGCCTGGCCGCTGGAGGTTGGGACTAGTGATGTTGGGGCAGACGACAGGGCCGGAAGAAGCCACCTCCACACATGTCCCCCTAGGACTTAACCCTTGTCAAGACCCCCTGACCCCCCACACCTGGCTAAATTTAAAACGGGGAGGGGGGCGCTGCAGCTCAGCGACAGAGCCTTTGCCTAGTTTGTGGGAGAACCCGGGTTCCAACCCCAGAAACAGGGGGAAAAGTGTCACAATAAGCAATTTCAGCGAGGTCTGGAGTTTCCACACCATTACCTGGGGCGGGCTACTGGGAGGGAATGATAGGGCAAGAGTTGCGGAAAAATAAAACTGCCAGACTGTGACCCGCACTCCTCAGGGAACCCCGGCCCGCAGCAGGCTCCTCCCCAAAGGCGGTCCCCTGGTGTCTGAAATCCACCAAATGGGAAGCAGCCCCCACGCCCATCCCATGGGGCCCATCCCACAGGACGGGTCCAGGCCACGGCGACTGCTTCATAATCCCTCCCCAGAGGGCCAAAGGCCTGCAGGAGAGGCCTGCGGACGGCAGCCCAGGAACCCTGAGCAGAGTAACCAAGGCCAGCTGCGGAAGGCGTGGTCTAAGGAACACACTCCCCAGCCTGCTGTGCAGCCCTGAGCCAATCACTTCACTTTTCTGGGCCTCAGTTTCCCTGGCTCTAAATGGGGGGAAATAATAGTTCCTGTCTCTTAATTTTATTGAAAGAATTTAAGTGAGCGCCAAGGGTGCAGCTGCATGCTGTGCAGAGGCCCTGGATTCAACCCCCAGCACAGCACGGCAGTAGCAGTAGTAGTTGTAGCAATAAGTGTAAGTGCCCAAGATGGACTCCTGCTGTCCCTTCCAGCCCCTCAACTTGAATGGTAACACCCACCGCCTGAGAGCTTCTTTCATTGTTTTCTTCCCTCATTCCTCATCCAGCAGAAGATGCTGTCAACTTGACCTCTCACCAGACTCCAAGCCTTTCCCCACCTTTATGGTCCATTTGTGTGAGCTGCCTTTGCCTGCTAGAGGGTAGTGGCCTCCATCCTGCCTCTTCACCAATCTGTTCATCACTCATAAGAGTGATGTATAAGAGACAAATGTCTGGTTCCACTCTTGTTCCCCCCCCCCCCCCCGTCCCATCCATACGGGCTTTCTCTCTGCTTGGAGAATAGGCCAAGTATGTTCCAGCCCCAGGGACTTTGCACTTGCTGTCCCTGTCTGCTTGCAGTGCTCTTCTGCCAGATACCCACATGGGCACCCTCACTCTTTCTCTTCTCCTTCTCTGAGATGGAGTCTTGCTAAATTGCCCAGGCTGGCCTTGAACTTGCTATCCTCCTGCCTCAGCCTCCTGAATAGAGTAGGGGTAGCTGGGTTTATAGGTGTATGCCACTGTGCCCAGCCTATTCTCACTTTCTTCAAGTTTCTATTGAAATGTCGCCTCCTTGGGAAGGCTTTCTTTAACCTACCCCCCCCACACACACACTCTCTGCTGCTGTGCTCGGTTACCCCACTTCAGCCCTCCTGAGAGCACTGCTTACCTTCTGAAATGCTATACACGTCACATATATGTTCTATACCCCCACTCAGCCAGTCCCACCAACGTCCAGCCCCATGTCCCGCCCACTAAGTACTTGATTTACTCAACCTGTGGCTTCCCTGCGGCTCCCAATCTCCCAGTCAGGCAAACATGTAATCCCAGCTACTTGTGAGGCCAAAGCAGGAGGACTGCAAATTCAAGGCCAGCCTAGACAACTTAGACTTTGTCTCACAATAAAAAATAAAAAGTATGGGCATGAAGTTCAGTGATTCAGTGCCCCTGGTTTCAATCCCCCAGCACACACACACACACACACACACAAAAAGTCCCAAACTTCTGGGGGTTGAGGGTCTGGATCTTTCTCATCTGCTTTATAGCTCTACTACTATTTACTTAACATTTATCTCTGATTTAATTTTTAATCACACTCCATGCTCAGATTGTAACATTTCTTTTAAGTTACAATGTAAACAAAACTGTGGTAAAATCCTTCGGATACAGTAGCCAGTCTGATGTTGCAGGTAGCTTTTTTTGTCTGAGATTAGCAAGTGATAAAGACACATTATTACCAAGGATATGGACAGCATACTGAAACGGGAAGAGACTGAGGGATTCAATACCAAGTCATTTAAAAAACATTGAAATCTGGGGCTGGGAGGTGTAGCTATGTTGGTAAAGCACACACAGAGGCCCTGGGTTTGATTCCCAACACACACACACACACACACACGGATACTATATAATTGTGTCAAGCAAAGTGGCACATGCTTGTATTCTCAGGGATTTGGGAGGCTGAGGCAAAAGTATCACAAGTTCAAAGCCAGCCTCAGCAATTTAGAAAGGCCCTGAGCAATTTAGCGGGACCATAGGCAACTTTGCAAGACCCTGCCTCAAAATAAAAAATAAGAAGGGCTGGGGGGGCTGGGGATGTGGCTCAAGCGGTAGCGCGCTTGCCTGGCATGCGTGCAGCCCGGGTTCGATCCTCAGCATCACATACAAACAAAGATGTTGTGTCCGCCGAAAACTAAAAAATAAATATTAAAAAAAAATTTTCTCTCTCTCTCTCTCTCTCTCACACACACACACACACACACACACACACACTCTCTCTCTCTCTCTCTCTCTCTCTCTCTCTCTCTCTCTCTCTCTCTCTTTAAAAAAAAGAAAAAGAAGGGCTGGGGATGCCAGTCAATGGTTAAGTGCCCCAGGGATCAATCCTGGTACCAAAAAAACCCCTAGGTCGTTATGGGTAAGAGCCAGCCTGATCTGGACCCAGCCTACTTCTGCAATAACCTGAAATCACCTCCTTGTAACACTGTCCTGTGTTATGTTCCAATACTTCCTCCATCATTCCAGCCACAAGAGCTTTGTATGTGCTGTGACCTCCCTCAGTCTCTTTTCCGCCTCTGTGCACCTTGTTAAATAGGTCTTTTTTTTTTTAAGCGAGAGAGAGAGAGAGAGAGAGAGAGAGAGAGAGAGAACTTTTTTTTTTTTAATATTTATTTTTTTTTTTTTAGTTTTTGGTGGACACAACATCTTTGTACATAGTGCTGAGGATCGAACCCGGGCCGCACGCATGCCAGGGGAGCGCGCTACCGCTTGAGCCACATCCCCAGCCTGTGCACCTTGTTAAATCAGCTCAGCTCGAAGGGCAAAAACCTTGGGGTTTGTCTGCACCCCCACCCCTGCCATCTTGGTCCATGATCTCTGTATTTATTGACACTCAAATTGAGAAATTTGGGGTCTAGAGATATAATTCAGTTGGTAGAGTGCTTGCCTCACAGGCACAAGGCCATGGGTTCAATCCCCAGCACCCCCACACACATACACACACACTAAGAAATCCCCCCACCCCTGCACTGAGGATTGAACCCAGGGCCTCCTCACATGCTAGACAAGTGCTCTACCACCGAGTACATCCCCAGCCGTTTTAGAACTTTGAGACATGGTCTCTCTGAATTACCCAGGCTGGCCTCGAATTTATGTTCCAGACTCCTGAACAGCTGGGATTACAGGCATGGCGCCACCGCACCACGTGGCCGTGTGTGTGTGTGTGTGTGTGTAATAATGACTACACTTTTCTGTTGGTTTCTTGGTTTGTTTCCTAGCCTGAGGTCTCCAGGATGGCAGGCAGGGATTGAGTCTAGCAGGTGCTTAAGCGACCTTGTGAATGAATGATACATTTGCAACCTTTCTAATGTGCAATTTTAAAAATATAAATATATAGATGGGGAAACCGAAGTCCTCAGTGGCCGGAGCGCGAGCTTAGCTGGCCCGGGGTTCGATGTCCACCCACAGCACTGAAAGAAGAATCATTTTAAAAAGCAAGGGCCAGTCTTTTCGGGACTGGGAAAGGGCCAGGCCGCAGGTCGGGACCAGCACAGAAGTACCCAGACCGGTTTACCGAGTTCCGGGACCCTGTTCCACCTCCCCTCGGCGGGGACAAAGCGGGCCTCGGCCGGGTGGGAACTTGATCTCGGCGTGGACATCTGAGCGGCGAGGGGACGCGAGGGTGGGGTAAGTGGCCGGCGTGCGGGGCGGGGCGACCGTGTCCCTCACGCCAGGGGCGGGGCGTGCCCTCGCCGGGTCTCGCGCTCTCCTCGGCGCCCCGCCCCTGCGCGCTGCCACCGGCGACTTCCAGGAACTCTCAGCGTGGGCGGTCGCCTGGGCCCCGCCTCTCCGCCGCAAACCGGTCCCTTCCGGATTCTGCCCAGACCCTCCAGGCTCGGCTCGGTCCCTCAGCAGTCTAGTGTCCCCCTCCCTCCGCGCGCCCCACGAATACGAGGGCGGAGCTTGCGGGCGCGGCGGAGCCGGGGGACCGGGACCTCGCGGGGGCCGGGAGCGGGCTCGGCTCAGTCACGCAGATGGCCTAGTGGGAATGGGGCTCGCGGGAGTTGGAGCCTCCCGCTACCTACTTCAGCCTGCAGCCGCCGGAGCCCCGACATGTGTCCGGGGGGGCCCGACCTCGCCGGTTCCCAGGGGCGCTCTTCCTGGGACCGTTCGTATCTGTTTCCTGAGGCTCCGCCCAGGGGGTGACGCCACCCACCTCTGTTGAGGGGAGCTGAGGTCCCCCTGGTCCAGAGAGGAGTTCCTCTCCGCGGAAGTCCTCCAGGGTCCAGGCCCATGGCCCTCCCCGCCCTTTTTATTTCCCCAGCCTCCGGGCCAGCCCGGTCCCCCAGCGTGTGGTTGACTCTGGGGGACGATCCCGGCATTCCCCGTCCCCCCACCCCTCCTCCCCTCCTCCACCCCGGCGGCTGGCCAGTCCCCAGGGGTCCTGCCTGCCCAGCCCGCCCGCCAGCCGACTGGCACCAATTAATTTCCTCCTCTGCCTGTCCATCCACATCTGGTCGCCAGCTGCTCACCCTCGGCCTGTCTGCCCCTGGAGGCTCCCGGGGAATTGCTAACAGTTCTCCTCGCTGAGCCCACCCCCAGATCCAGCCCACCCCACCCGAGTCGGCTAATCGGAACAAGCTGACCGGGGCGGCGGGGAGAGCCGAAATCAGGCGGAGGGGCGTGCGTGCGTGAAACTTTTGGACCCAGAGATGTTTGCAGGAGGGGGAGCGGAGAGGCGGGAGGCCGGCCGGTACCTAAAAGCCGAGATCAAAGCCTTCTGGCTTCCAGATGGGGACTGCAGGGAGGCCTGCCCCGCCCCCAGGGGTGTGCAAGGCGGAACACCCCTTCCTCGGAAATCCCCCGAGACCCCGCAGTGACAGCTGCACCCCACCCCCACCGGCCCGCCCGCACCGGCCGGTTTCCTTTTCCTGTCTCTGCCCCGGCCCGCTGGGCTGCAGCCTAGAGACAGTGCTTGGCCCCTTTGAAGGGGCTCCCCGGAGGGTCTTCCTGGATGAGGGGGAAGGGACAGGCTGGAGAACAATGGAGCTTCTGTGGCTGCAGGACGCCAGGCGCTTCCTGTTAACCCTTTCCCCTGAGGTGCCCCGGGGGGGAGCATCTCGTGGCCCAGCCGTGTTGGGGAGGGGGCACCCGGGGAGTGACCGAAGCTAACAGGCTCTCTCCTTCCAGGGCTCCCGTCCAGTTTGTGAAAGCGATTAGCAGTGAGGTAGGGGCAGCCCCCACCCCCACTGAGCCCAGGCCCCGCGCAGGCCCGGCCAGCGCCCCACTGAGCGGCCCTCCCCTCGTATTTTGAGACAGGAGGGTCTTGCCAGGCTGGCTTCCACCTGGCAATCTCCCTACCTCGGCCTTGGAGCCTCTGGGTACAGACAATGCCACCACACCAGCACCCTCCCTCCAGGAAGGAGGATGGGCTTGCTCCTGTCCCTGTGTTGCTGAAGGCTGTGCAGCCCAGATGGGAGGGCAGGACTGCCCTGGGGCAGGCAGACCAGGAGCCCCAGGTGGAATCCTCGTTTGCTCTAGAAAACTTGCCAAGGTTCTCCTCAGGGCTTCCCCGCTGGTGCCAGTTCCCTGGGCTGCCTTCCGCCTCAGTTTCCCCTGATGGGGGAGTTCTCCCCAGGACTTGGCAGGAGTGCAAGGGGGCTGGGCACCGTGGCTCACACCAGTGATCCCATCTACCTGGGAGAATGAAACAGAAGGACTGGAAGCCTGAGCCAGCTAGCCAGAGACCCTGTCTCCAAAAATGAGCCAGGTGTGGGGTGGCGCACACCTGCAACCCCAGCGACTCAGGGGGGTGAGGCAGGAGGATTGCAAGTGCAAGGCTGGCTTAATCAATTCATTGAGACCCTGTCTCAGAAGAAAATAAAGGGCTGGGGATGTAGCTCAGGGGTAAGGCACTCCTGGGTTCCAGCATCAGTACTGGGGGAAAATAAAAAAAGTCCACGGAGTCCAGGACCTCCCTCAGGGACCAGAGTAGACCAGAAACCTTAGCAATAGTTTGCGGTCCTTGGAGCACTGGGGAGCCATGCAGGGGAATTGGCTGCTGTGTCCCCTCTGTTTACAAATCCAGCCTGAGAAGTGCTCTCAGAAGAGTTCTGGGTCCTCAGGAGGGCCCTAATATCTCAACATCTACCTTGGGGGCTTCTGATTAGTGACTGACAGACCAGACAAATCTTATACCCAAAGACTTTTGTTGTTACTGCAAATTGAACCCAGGGGTGCTTTACCACTGAGCTCTACACCTTTTTATTTAGAGACAAGGCCTCACTAAGTTGCAGAGGCTGGCTTTGAACTCCTGATCCTCCTGCCTCAGCCTCCTTAGCTCCTGGGATTACAGGAATGTGCCACCACACCTGGCAGTTGTTGAGAGCCACAGCCCAGTCGCCTGGCATTTTGCCAGAAGGAGTGGTTGAGAGGTGATGCCAGCGAGCCATTAAGATGATGATAATTAAGTTAAGCTGTGTATAATTGCTGTGACTGGATGATGCTGGATTGAAACGGGCTGTGTATTCCGTTGTATATAGACCCCTGCTGTCCCGCAATAGGGAGGCTCCTGCTGCCTCGGGCGCCCGCTACTTTCGAGTTCTCCTACTCCGGAGTTCCCTCTCCTTCTCCGGAGTTCCCGTTGAGTTCTCTCGGAGCCACGTTGAGGGCAGGGAGAGTTCCCGGGGGAGTGCAGGTGGAGTGCTGGTGGAGTTCGGGCAATAAAGTAGTTCCTGTTTGAACCTACAAGTGCCTCGTGGCGGCTCGGTTATTTTGTGCCCAGCCAGACTGCGACAGGCAGTCATTAGTCCCATTTCACAGATGAGGAAACTAAGCCACAAAGCGATTAAGCAATGTGTCCAGATCACACATCCAGTAAAGACAAGGTCTTTTTTTTTTTTTTTTTTCCTCTTCTGCTTTGGGGGTGGGGAGGGAGTAGGAATCTTTGTTCTGGCCAGTGGACTTTAGCTCCAGCCCAGTCTCTGATCCTCAGATAAGGAAAGGGGGGGGGCCGGGGCTGAGGGTTCTCTTCCACCCCCGCCCTTCTCCGCCTTTTCTGCCTTCCACTCACGGGTTTCTCAGGTTCCTTGTTGAGTGGCTGTGTTTTTTTTCTTTCCCTTCCACGGGGTGAAAACTTCCCCAGGGGCCAATTTGTGCGTGCTCAGCCCTGGGGCTTGATGAAGACAAAATTGGTTGTTGAGATGCTCACTATTTACAGAGAAAAACCAAACTGCCGTTGCTGGGGGTGCGGCCTCGCTGGTGTGAGGCCCTCGGCTCCATCCCCAGGCCTGCAAAGTAAAAAAGAAAAGAAAAAGAAAATTGAAAGGCGGCTGCTCCTGCCCCACCCCCTCCTGGCTGGTGTCTGGGGCCAGCCCAGCCTGGATGAGCACACAGGAAATGAAATGGCTCATCTCATTGCTTCGCCCTTTAGACCTGAGGGAGGGGAGGGCAGGTCTGGAGGACCCCAGGATGGCGTGTCAGAGGCCCTAGGGGCTTGGGCTTTGTCCAGCCACTGAGCCCCGGCTGCCACCCTGCCCACCAGCCTCACCTGAGGTCCCTCTCTTCTCTCCTGGCCCTGTCTATGTCCTGCTCTTCCAGAAAGGCTGAAGTGACCCTGCCATTACTCACCGCCAGGTCCCTGCCGGCTGCAGCTCTCAGACTCAGGTTAGCCTGGGGTGGACAGGGAGCTCCTGGGGCCCTGTCCCCCCTTGGGGCAGTGTGGAGAGAAGCAGCCAACATTCCTGGTGTCCCCCAGGTACCTGCTGAATCCCTGCAGATGCTGCCTTATAAACAGCTACTGGAATTTTCAACTGTGCTGTCGTGTTGGGGAGGAGGAAGTCCCCTGGGAGGGTGGTGGCCATGAAGCCAGTTCAGAAGGGCACAGCACAGCTTTCTTTCAGCCCTGAATTCTTTCTTCTTTTCTTCTCTTCGTGTTGGGGATGGAACCCAGGGCCCCTCCTTGCTAGGCGAGGGCTCCCCGCTGAGCCCCACCCTGGCCCACAGCCTTCACCTCGGGGCTGTGCTTTGCTCTGCTGGTGGGAGAGGGGAAGCGGAAGCGGTGCTGGGCACTGTCCTGGGCACTGTCCTGGACACTTCCACATTTGCAAACACCCTCGCATTCTCAGTTTCCCTCTTATGTTGGGACTCAGAACTTGATCCCCCCAACTATGGCACTCCTTGGCACTCTGAGCTCTTGGGACTGGAGGACGCTGGGAGGGAAGCAAGGCCTCTCTTGCACCTGCCCTGCGGTCCCCATCCCCAGCCCCAGACTGGAATTGCAGGCATGAGCCACCACACCCAGCCTCTCTCTAGCCCTTCACCCGAGTAAGTCACAGGACTCAGAATTCCTCACCCCCAGCGGGTCCCAGGAACCAGAACTCCTCTCCCCTAACGCCAGCCACGGAACCTTCTCCTGGGCTGGGGTGAGCGCAGCGGCGGGGCAGTCTAGCGTCCCTGGGGCCCTGCGCTCCATCCGCCCCATCCGCAGCTACTGCAATCAAGAGACAAACTAAACCCATTCTCCCTCGGAGACCCCCATTGCAGAGGGTCCTGCCCCACGTCCCGGAGGAAGAGAGCTGCACAGAGATGCCAAGACGAGTCTGCACCCCTCAGTCTGTTCTCGTTTTTGTCTAGTCGCGTTGGCACACTGCTATCCTGCCTCTTTCCTTCCTTCCTTCCTTCCTTCCTTCCTTCCTTCCTTCCTTCCTTCCTTCCTTCCTTCCTGGGGTTGAAGCCAGGGGCTCTTAACCACTCAGCTACACATCCAGCCCTTTTTAAAATATTTTACTTAGAGACAGGGTCTCCCTAAGTTGCTTAGGGCCTTGCAAAATTGCTGAGCCTGGCTTTGAACTCGCGATCCTCGGCCCCCTGAGCGGCTTGAATTACAGGTGTGCACCACCGCGCTCAGCACCACTCTCCTTTCTTCCCCAGCCCAAGGCCTGCGAATAAATTGCTTTCCTGGGTCTTCACTCATCATTCTGAAGATTCCTATGTCACATGAAAGTTTTTCTGTGTATTTGGTCCTGGGGACTGAACCAAGGGATGCTTAACCACTGAGCCACACCACCGGCCCTTTTGATTTTGAGACCGGGTCTCACTACGTTGCCCAGGCTGGCCTCCGACTGGTGGTCCTTCTGCCTCAGCCTCCTGGGTCACTGGGATGACAGGCTGCGCCTCTGCACCTGGCTCCATGTGAACCTTGTGAGAAAAAGCATCACTGCTTTAGGCCCCCGCCCTGGTCCCTTCCCTTCTTGGACTTGTCCCTTCTTCTCATAAACCTCCAGACCTCCCTGGGGGTGAGGGGCAGGGCACACACATAGCCCTCCCCCTCAGCAGTTCCACTGTGACTCAGCCGCCCCGTCCCTGAAGCTGGGAAGGCTGGAGCCATGATCCACCCCCCTGGCCTGGTATCACAAATTTGAGCTCGTGTTTCAGGTCAGACTGGATGAGCAGGCTTGGCCTCCCCCACACCTAAGCCACTGCGTCTAGCCCAGTGTGTCCCCAGGCCACTCACACACCACATGGGGCTCCTGGGAAGCTCCGCCCCCCACTCAGGTGGCTGCAGGTGGCGAGGCCTGGGATAACCCTCACCCTGACCCCCTGCTCCCGGTGGCTCCCCTTCTGCAGCTGGCAGTAAATTCTGGGGACAGAGCCTCAGCTAGAATGGGTGCTCCTGATGTCCTTTCTGCCAACCACTGCCCCCAGACCTCTGGCGGCCAGGCCAACCCATGCCCCATGCGGGCATGATGGAGGCCACTCTCCCTCCTGCTGATGTCAATGCCACTTCCTCCCATAACCCCTCCAACTCCTATTGTCCCTAGTGCACCCTGCCGTGGTACAGTGACATCACTGGCACCCAGAAAAAGGATGATGTAGCTGCTTACTGCCCCTTCCAGGCTGGGGCACTTCCAAGTTCAGTCACTTGGGTTTTTCTGCTCAGTTTGTAGTCGCTCAGCATTTCCTCGGGGCCTCAGTGTCCCTGGCGAATGTCGCCACTGTGAGCTCAGAAGCTCATTTCCTCCCCAGCCCAGACAAGCAGTTGAGCCATTGAGAAGCCCGAGTTGAAGGGTGCTGCGACCCTTGTCCAAGTTCAGCTGATAAGAGCCAGATTTGAATTTGGACCCATGGGTCTGGGAGCCTGAGATTTAATTATTTAACGTGTGTGTGTGTGTGTGAGAGAGAGAGAGAGAGAGAGAGAGAGAGAGAGAGAGAGAGTTGGTGGTGGTGCTGGGGATGGAACCCAGGGCCCAACACATGCTGTACCACTCAATCCCCCAGCCCTTGCCTGAGGGATTATGCATGACAGTAATAGCGTGGGGGTGCACACTTGTAATCCCAGTGACTCTGGAGGCCGAGGCAGGAGAATCGCAAGTTTGAGGCCAGCCTGGAGAACTTTGACCTTGTCTCAAAAGAAAAATTAAAAAGGGCTGTGGACCCAGGCATGGTGGCACAAGTTGTAATCCCAGTGGCTCAGGAGGCTGAGGCAGGAGGATTGCGAGTCCAAAGCCAGCCTCAGCAACTGTGAGGCTGCTAAGCAACTCAGTGGGACCCTGTCTGTAAATAAAATACAAAAGAGGGCTGGGGATGGGGTTCAGTGGTTGAGTGCCCCTGATTTCAACCCCTGGTACCCAGAAAAAAAAAAAGAGGGCTGGGTTGCAGCTCAGGGGTAGAGTGCTCGCCCAGGGGAGTGCCAAGTCTGGATTCCATCCCCAGTGTGGGGGGTGGGGGGACAGTTTTCCTGGCCTCAAACTGCAAGTCCAACTTTAGCCACCACTGTGACAAGCAAAGGTGTCTCCCGATGTTGCTGGAAGCTGAGGTGGGTGTCCTGCTTCACCACACTTGTGCCAACTCAGAGGTAACCCTGCCTCTCTTTCTTTGCCCCCCACTCCCTGACTCCCTCTCTCACGGATTGAACCCGGGTTAGATCCAGTGACCCACATCCCCAGCCCTTTTTATTTATTTATTTTGAGACGGGGTCTGGCCAAGTTGCTTAGGCCTCCGAAATTCCAAGGTTGACCTAGAACTTGCAATCCTCCGGTCTCAGCCTCCCGGGCTCTGGGATCACAGGCAAGCCGGCTTTCCCAGGGCTTTCGGAGCCTGGGCAGGGCTCCGGTGTTGGTGGCGGAGGTGACTGGCAGGTTCAGGCACCTGGGGAGTGGTCAGCAAGGCCAGGCACAGCCCGGTGCCTGGGGAGAGGGGTGCCGGGCGGCCTCCGGCGGGTGGAGTCAGCTTGTCCTCTCCCTCCTTCCTGGTTCCCAGGGTGGGAGGTGGCGGTGGTGGCCCCGAAGCGGGAGGGCGTGGGGAGCCGCGGCCCCGCCTCGGATTTACTGGGCGTGAGCCCGGGGCCGTGGGCGGGAGGAGCCCCCGAGGCCGAGTGGGCGAGAGCCCGCCTTCCGCCCTCCAGGGCCACCCGAGCGGCGGCGGGAAGCGTGACTCACCCGGCTGCCGGCGGGGAGGGAGCGGGGTGCGGGACCCTCCCAGCCTCCGCCTTTCCGCCGTCCCCAGCGGCCGCGGCCCTGGAAGCCACGGCTCCGACCCCTTCCCCTGGCCGCGCTCCCCGCGGGGGAGGCTGGACCCTGAGCCCGTGCGCCTGCTACCGTCCAGGTGTGCGGTGGCGCAGGAGTCCCCCGCGCAAGACACACCCGAGGAGGCTGGGGCTGGAGCTCAGGCGAGAGCACTCGCCCAGCCTGTGGGCCCGGGGGCCCTAGCCTGTCATCCCAGCAGCTCTGGAGGCTGAGGCAGGAGGATCGCGAGTTCAAAGCCAGCCTCAGCAATTTAGCAGACCCTCAGCTATTCAGCGAGACCCTGTCTTTAAATAAAATATCCGAAAAGCTGGGGCTGGGGCTCAGTGGTGTCCATCCGTCGGTTCCCCCGGGCACACACACTGAGCTACACCTAAGCCTTTTTGATTTTGAGACCTGTCTCCCTAAATTGCTGAGGCTTACCTCAAACTTTTGATCCTCCTGCCTCAGCCTCCTGAGTTGCTGGGATGACAGGTGTGGGCCACCTACAACACACTGTTGTTAACTGTTGTCATCCTGACGTGCAGTAGATTTCTTGAATTTATTCCTGCTGCCTGAAAATTTGGGGTCCTTTGGCCAACATGTCCGCATTCCCTCCACCCCCAGCTTCAGATACTATTTCTATGAATTTGACTTTTTTAGATTCCATATGTAAGTGAGATCATATGGTATTGTTATGCAAATGTTATGCAAATCGTATGCTACGTCTATATTTATATATGTGAATTTTACCTCATTTTCTTTTTTTAAAGCAAGTTCCCAAGCTTTGTTCCGGGCGGTCAGAAGCTGTAAGGATGCTCAGTGGGAAGAGGCTGCCAGGTCTTTCCCGGCCTCCAGCAGGGCCCAGAGCTTCCTACCTGAGACATGGCCGCACAAGGGGCCTCTGGGATATGGGGAGGAGCCTGTGCCCTGTGTGCCCACTGGAGCCACTCAGAAATCCTGAGCTGCCGCGATGGTGGTCAGACCAGAGTGCGAGAACACAGGCCAAATGGCTAATGGTGACCTCCCTTGTGGGCAGCAGGAGGGCGGCTGGGGAGAGAGGCTGAGTTGTCTGTCCAAACCAGATCATCCTGTCCACTTGATTGAAATCCACCTCTGCAGGCACGATGATGCTCATCTATAATCCTAGTGAGCTGGAGGCTGGGGCAGGAGGATTACAAGTTCAAGGCCAGCCTGTGCAACCTAGGGAGTCCCTATCTCAAAGTGAAAAAAGGGCTGGGGATGGGCTCAGCAGTTGAGCACCCCTGGGTTCAATGTCCCGTCCCCCCCATACAAATAACCAAATAAAAATAAAATCCTCCTCTGATATGTCACCCATTGGTGAGCAGTGATTCTCCTGGGACCCAAATATCATCTCCCCCGACGCTGTTTAGAGATCTATCCACATACAATATGGCGGGTTCCTCATCACCAATGCTCCAGGAGGGAGAAGACTTCTGGCCATTTCTTCCCCCAAGCAAAATGGAGAACTGGCTGGAGGTGCTGGCACGCAGCCTGTGCTCAGCACACACAAGACCACAGTCCCCTGCCCAGCCCCGTTGTCCCTCAGGATGCTCCCGGGAGGGGCTAACTGTGGACCGGCTTCATTCCTGCTGCCTGCCTGCCGAGCGCCCTTGTTTTCTCTCCCTTTTTTGAGAGGAGGTCTCACAAGCCTGCCAGGACCCACCTGGGTTCAGGTGATCATCCAGCCTCCCAGGTGGCTGGGATGAGAGGCATGCGCCACTGCGCCCAGCTCCCCATGCAGGACCCTGGGTCACCAGGCTGTCCTCTGTTCCTTAACTGACTGTAGGCAGGCTGGGAGAGAGCAGAGCAGGACGCTCGGTTCCGTCCTAGGCAGTGGTCCCCCTTATCCATAGAATATGTCCCACGGCCCCCTGGGGATGCGTGGACTGTGGATGGGACCAAGCCCCAAATACACTGTATTTGGCCCATATTTACATACCTATGGTAAAATTTAGTTCATAAATTAGACACAGAGGCTGGAGGTGTGGCTCATTGTAGAGCACCTGCCCAGCACAGGCGAGGCCCCAGCATCTCACATGCGCGTGTGGGAACACACACACTAATTTT